ATACCCAACAGTTTCACTTAAACTTGAATATGTGTGCGCAAGATGTTGTCAACAACACATACTCCTCTGTGAAAAAATGAACCACAGTGCCAGCAAATAAAAACTGACTTGCACTGACTCTGGCGCTTCTACTGACCATGTCACTTGTACTGACCGTGTCACTTGTACTGACCGTGTCAATTGTACTGACCGTGTCACTTGTACTGACCGTGTCACTTGTACTGACCGTGTCACTTGTACTGACCATGTCACGTATACTGACCGTGTCACGTATACTGACCGTGTCACTTGTACTGATCGTGTCACTTGTACTGACCGTGTCACTTGTACTGACCGTGTCACTTTTCCTGACCAAGGCGCTTGTTCTGACTAAGGCGCTTGTACTGACCGTGTCACTTGTACTGACCAAGGCGCTTGTTCTGACCATGGCGCTTGTACTGGCCATGTCACTTGTACTGACCAAGGCGCTTGTTCTGACTAAGGCGCTTGTACTGACCGTGTCACTTGTACTGACCAAGGCGCTTGTTCTGACCATGGCGCTTGTACTGACCGTGTCACTTGTACTGACCAAGGTGCTTGTACTGACCGTGTCACTTGTACTGACCAGGGCGTTTGTTCTGACCAAGGCGCTTGTACTGACCCTGCCACTTGTACTGACCAAGGCGCTTGTTCTGACCAAGGCGCTTGTACTGACAGTGTCGCTTGTTCTGACGGTGTCACTTGTACTGACCAAGGCGCTTGTTCTGAACATGGCGCTTGTACTGACCGTGTCACTTGTAATGACCAAGGCGCTTGTACTGAGCATGTCACTTGTACTGATCATGTCACTTGCACTGACAAAGGCGCTTGTTCTGACCATGTCACTTGTTCTGACCGTGTCACTTGTACTGACCAAGGTGCTTGTACTGAGCATGTCACTTGTATTGACCATGTCACTTGTACTCACCATGTCACTTGTACTGACCATGTCGCTTGTACTGACCATGTCACTTGTATTGACCATGTCACTTGTACTCACCATGTCACTTGTACTGACCATGTCACTTGTACTCACCATGTCACTTGTACTGACCATGTCGCTTGTACTGACCATGTCACTTGTATTGACCATGTCACTTGTACTCACCATGTCACTTGTACTGACCATGTCACTTGTACTCACCATGTCAATTGTACTGACCATGTCACGTATACTGACCGTGTCACTTGTACTGACCGTGTCGCTTGTACTGACCAAGGCGTTTGTTCTGACCATGTCACTTGTACTGACCATGTCACTTGTACTGACCATGACTGTTCTCACACAACTAAATCCATAACAAGTATAATTTATATTATACGATAAATTACTAATGCATATTCTTAAAAACTGCAAACAGTTTTTCCTTAAATCTCACATTTTTTTTATAACGAAAACATCAGAGAGTGTCCCAATTTAATTTCCGCCTTGTAGTCCCTTTCTCCTCGTGCATGTTTTCCAAATAACAATGAATAGGGGTCATGGTTGGGAATAGTGATGTCTGAAGGATCCCATTGGCTGAAGAGCTGAACAAAATCAAATCAAATTTCGAGCTATAAACGTTAAGGAGAGATTTCCCCGGCATCAGTTTCACGGACCTGCATGAAAGAGGTCACAATTATACTTGAACCTGAACGTTTCCACTACGAATGAGTTAACGAAATACACACTGTTGGCGGGTAATTTGCCTTTAAGACTATCCGAAGATTCTAAAAAATGGTGATATGTAAATCGCTTCTCGTGTCATAGGATCTCTTCCGCATTAGTCTAGACTTGAGGTGGTGTTCAAGAATCCGGACTACACATTCATGGAAATCACTCGCGCTCAATTTCTGCCCCAAGGTACATGCCCCGCGCCCTGCCAAAACACCAAGTAATTCACAATCAATTGATCTTGTCATGCATCCTGTAGCCTAGCGGTGTCACTGGAAAAGGCCTGAATTTGTAAAAGAAGCGTCGTCAGCATGGCAATGCGATGACGGACTGCTCACCGCCACTGCCACAATCACAGCATGATCCGTTTTCATACATGACCTTTAGTTGCACGTCCTAAAATAATGAAATTCTTTGTTGATTCAAAGGCAATGGACAAGCACATAGTGTTGATGCCCCTTTGCCATACAGGCGAATTATTGAATAATGACACGGTATCAAGTCTTTGAAGGGCATCTTGAAGTGATACACATAAGGAAGAGAATTTATGGATGTCAACTGCTTTATATGTTGTGTTCCTCATAAGAAAGAAGTTGACATCCATAAATTCTCTTCCCTAATGACATGGTTGGGAAAATTTATTGATAAAAACTTCTTTATTTACTGCAAAGGCGACGTTTCAGTATAGATCCTTATACCGTTGACAAGCAAGGCTGAATAATGAACATGGTACAGAATGTTAATCATCCACCTACTATATATTCTGTTCCATGTTCATTTTTCAGCCTTGCTTGACAACGGTATAAGGATAAATACCGCAATGTCGCCTTTACAGGAAATAAAGAAGTTGCTATCCTCAAATTGTATCTACTTTGTCATCCGTCAACTTCCAAGTAATGCCTATCAAACAATTTATTGAATAATGCTTCCGATATCGTCGATAATTCAAGACAGGTGTGTGGAAAATGAGATAGATTAATGGATTGTAAGAGCAATACCTGGGCGGACGCGGGGCCTGGACAGGTGTATCAATTATTACCTGGCTGGAGGTGTGAATGGATGGAAGGGGTGACCAAGTGCGTTGGTGCTGATCTGGGAATGGATTGATGGAGGTACGTGAGCGTCTGTTAATGGGACAAAGAGGCTTGTGTAACCTGCAAGGGCATGACGCGTGGAGATTTGCGTGTGCACTCGGTGCTTCACTATGATAACGAGATATGCCATGAGGTTAACAACGTCGTGACCCTAAAACTCATGCCCGACGTTTCACTACAGGAAATACTCACGGTTGTTTTAATTATTAAAATAGACTTTGATTTCTTGAATTTTAGAAAATGTTTGTCACTGTCACACGGGCATTCTCATTAATTATTTTCAAGCAAACCCGAATGCATACAAATAGTTACATTACAGTAGAGACAACATATCTGTACACGGTCTGTAACTGAATCATCATATACAGTTACTTTAGAAAAATCTTACGAGTTGAAGAGATTTGTGAAATGGAACAGATTCTGAAAAGGGAGTTAAACATGGTTATAAAACACTAATAGTTGGAGAAGTTACCTCCCCTTCCGGAAGTTCTGCCAATATTATTCCTAAACAAAGGCGGTCAGTTTGCAAGCTGAAAATTAACAAGAAGAGTACAGTTGAAGAGGTTTGTTCTGTTTAAAAAACAGAATAGTTTTGCGTCTAACAGTATCGTCCAGATCGTTGAAGTTAAGTATAATAGTACATTAAATCTAGGTTTTCCGACAGATCTGCCTTGCTCGTTGTGATCGCTGCCTCCACAAACAATGTTTTTAACACGTCAAACAACCTCGATTACCTTGTCATGGCGTTAGGGCACTGGAGAGAAACAGATTTCATATGATATTTATTGTCAGTTTACAACTTAGGCTGCTTAAAGTGAGTGGATTGGTTTAATTAGCATTTCTTTATTTAACCCTTTATCCCCTATAGGGTTTCACGTGGCGTCTTCCACTGTATCGATACTTCAACGAACTCATGCTTCAGATCATCGGGGATCAGATTTACTCATGCGTTTATAGACCATCTGGGAATAGTTTAGTTTAGAAATTCGATTATGTTGGTCTAAACCATCATTATATAGACAAATGTTCTGTTACCCGAGCAACAACCAGAAACAAGTGAAGGTGTCTGACTGTACCTCCTTACTGGAGGTATTGGTTGTTCAACAGAATTTGAGCCGGGGTAGAATAGGTATTCAGCAACCCATGCTTGCCGTATAAGACGACTGTGTTTGTCGTAAGAGGCGATTAACGGGATCGGGTGGTCAGGCTCGCTGACCTGGTTGATGCATGTCATCGTATCCCAAATGAGTAGATCGATCCTTATAATGTTAATCACTGGATTGTCTGGTCAAGACACGATTATTTACAGACCGCCGTCATAAAGCTGGACTATTGCTGATTGTGGCGTTAAGCAACAAATAAACATACAAATCCACAAAATGTAATCGATATACCTGGACAATACTCGGGTACAAATCTCAACCACGTTCACATCATTAACTTGTTCGCAGTTAAACACAATCCGAAATCTACACGCGTCAGCATTATGGGACACGTAACCCGCTTCAGTTTGTGTTCAGACCTAAACAGAGTTTTAGAGATTGTGTACAACGGAAGTATGTCAACGAAACGTTTGCGGAACTAACACACATTTCCACGCGACGAGTAAGGTCGTCTTCTTCCTTTTTGCCTACTCCGATTTGAAAGGCTAATGGGAAAGAAGAACGTCGATCTCCCATGCATGAGCACTGCTGGGGTCATTATGAAGCAAAAGATTAAGCATGTGCTAATGTAGGCATACGAGAAGGATTTATCGGAAGTGGGCGACTAATGGTTAGGAAAACTGTGGCACGTTGTTAGTTTCTCTTTTTCGACAGGCACATCTACATGCTCTTTAGCATCTACAGGTTCTTCACAGACCATCCATTCCGTGGATAGAAAAGAGCCTCCTGGTGGTCGTACATGCTCTTATACCCATGGGCAAGAGTCTAGAACACTGCGGTAGAACATCTTCAGCGCTGTGTTCGCTTGGCCCTACATCATTACCGCAAAGAAAAGATGGGATTAAGCGTCATTATACGTAATTCATGGGGGTGTACTCTATCGATGTGACGACCCTAATGAGGCCATCACTGCGTAATAATAAAATTGCACCATGTGTGAATATTACTGATAGATTCTTAGTTATCAGATTGTTGGTTCTAAAAACTTTTAGTCTCCGCAGTAACGTCACAATTATTTAATAACTTGTTCACAACTCCATCATTACGCATCAGAATGATTGCAATGGGTTAATGACGCTTGGAGGACCATTCACGTCATACACAGGAGGTCATAACACAGCGGGACGTGGGTCTAGTGGTGTTGAAAGCTACTACTGTGGGTTTAGTGCTGTTGAAGGCTACTGCGGTGGATCTAGTGCTGTTAAAGCTCCTACTGTGGGTCTAGTGATGTTGAAGGCTACTGCGGTGGATCTAGTGCTGTTGAAGGCTTCTACTGTGGGTTTAGTGCTGTTGAAGGCTACTACTGTGGGTCTAGTGCTGTTGAAGGCTACTACTGTGGGTCTAGTGCTGCTGAAAGATACTACTGTGGAACTAGTTCTGTTGAAGGCAACTGCGGTGAGGCTTTGCTGTTGATGGCTACTACTGTGGGTCTAGTGCCGTTGAAGGCTACTACTGGGGGCCAGTGCTGTTGAAGGCTACTTCTTTGGGTCTAGTGCCGTTGAAGGCTACTACTGTGGGTCTAGTGCTGTTGAAGGCTACTAATGTGGGTCTAGTGCTGTTGAAGGCTACTGCGGTTGATCTAGTGCTGTTGAAAGCTACTACTGTGGGTCTAGTGATGTTGAAGGCTACTGCGCTGGATCTAGTGCTGTTGAAAGCCTCTACTGTGGGTCTAGTGCTGTTGAAGTCTACTACTGTGGGTCTAGTGCTGTTGAAGGCTACTGTGTCGGGTCTAGTGGTGTTGAAAGCTACTACTGTGGGTCTAGTGATGTTGAAGGCTACTGCGGTGGATCTAGTGCTGTTGAAAGCTACTACTGTGGGTCTAGTGCTGTTGAAGGCTACTACTGTGGGTCTAGTGCTGTTGAAGGCTACTACTGTGGGTCTAGTGCTGTTGAAGGCTACTGTGTCGGGTCTAGTGGTGTTGAAAGCTACTACTGTGGGTCTAGTGATGTTGAAGGCTACTGCGGTGGATCCAGTGCTGTTGAAAGCTACTACTGTGGGTCTAGTGCTGTTGAAGGCTACTAATGTGGGTCTAGTGCTGTTGAAGGCTACTACTGTGGGTCTAGTGCTGTTGAAGGCTACTACTGTGGGTCTAGTGCTGTTGAAGGATACTACTGTGGAACTAGTTCTGTTGAAGGCAACTGCGGTGAGGCTTTGCTGTTGAAGGCAACTGCGGTGAGGCTTTGCTGTTGAAGGCTACTACTGTGGGTCTAGTGCTGTTGAAGGCTACTACTGTGGGTCTAGTGCTGTTGAAGGGGCTACTACTGTGGGTATAGTGCTGTTGAAGGGTACTAGTGTGGGTCCAGTGCTGTTGAAAGGTACTATTGTGCGTCTAGTGCTGCTAAAGGCAACTGCGGTTGGTCTAGTGCTGTTGAAGGCAACTGTTGTGGGTCTTGTGCCGTTGAAGGCTACTACTTTGGGTCCAGTGCTGTTGAAGGCTACTACTGTGGGTGTAGTGCTGTTGAAGGCTACTACTGTGGATGTAGTGCTGTTGAAGGCTACTACTGTGGGTCTAGTGCTGTTGAAAGCTACTACTATGGGTCGAGTGCTGTTGAACGAAGGGTCGTGATGTTATATGGCAGTGTATTTTATTGTTGAAGAATGATTGTAACTATATTACATTGTTTCTGTTGAGATTCGGTAGAAGATCATTGCTGTATTTGGACAGTGATTAGTTGCCATAAATGTAGTACTGTTTTATGTAAGCAGTTTTGAGGTAATCACTATGTTTAGATACTTGTGTCATTTGTAAACTTCCGGTACACCGTGGACTGCGGTAGAATTTAATAGAAACATATAGAATAGTCTATGCTTTTGATGGCAATGTGTGAAAATTTCCAGTAGCTAGTTAGACTGCATATGAGCGGACAAGAGCGTGCCTCTCGTATATCTTACACATCTCGTATCTCTCACACGTTTCGTCTCCCACACTTCGTATGAAGATCACTGAAATGCCTGGATTCCCTGCCTGGTCAAGCTCGGAAGCTTCATCCCTGTGTCCTCTCACTGAATATGTATTATTGACACTGCCTTTTGCTATCATTGAATATTGCACTGGCACTCTAGTGTGTGCTGTCATTGTAATTGCTGTGCTGTCATTTGTATGGACTAATTTTGCAACACAATTTTGTATTGTATACCCCACTTGTTCTTTTACGTACAGATATCAAGGATAACATAGTGTTTCAATTTGGGACTCGACACGTAACAATGATCCATAAACGACTCTAGTATACGGAGATGTATTTGGAGTGAAATGTTTGCCACAACATCCATGTCTTTGCGAATACTCTCCGGTATTTTATTAAAAGGTAACCAAACGAACCTTACTCTGCAAGCTTGTGTGTTAATATATTGAATTCAGATTGTGCATGAGTACCGAGCACGGATAACGTAATAATAAGCTACGAAATAGATACCAGTATCCATCGGCTTCCAATTTCAGTTATCATTTATTTAAAATGCACCACTGACGTCTGCCTAATTAATGTCTTTCCCTCCGCGAGAAAACATATCAACAGATTTATGTTGCCCTGTCACCGCAATATTCCATATTATATCCAATTATCATTTTTGCCATTTGTACAAATGAAATTGGGTACGGACTGTAAAACCCAAGAGCTCTCTCCTGTCACTTATCCTTTCGGTCTTTTCTGGTGTAAAGTCCAATTGCTTGTCAGCATGTCATCTGCAGTTGGAGTCTTGAATGTTTCCCATTTCACCCACGGGCTTACAGAGATCTAACATTCACACCAACGATGGTGTACGTTTTAGCGCCAAAGTCACGTTTTCAAGGAACATATTCAATTAATCTTCTTCTGCATGTTTCATATATACACGTGGGCATTAATTAGGCACCACCTGATAAAAATCCAATTCCGAAACATAAAGACAAACCCTGATCTGAACACAACAGATCGCCTTTGGGATTACCCTGTGAGAGTTAAAGACCCTCCAGTTCAAAATCTGAATGAACTGACCCAGATACTGCGGCGGGAATAGCAGATGGTCTCAATGTTGAAAATCAGACGTCTGATCAGCACCATGAGCAGACACCTTGCCACTGTCAGCCATGAGGGGGATACAGGCAGACACTGATTGCAGGGGTTTCCGCTGCATGATGTGACAGTCAGATTCGTGGTGTGGGCTGGGATACATTTCAGTGTTGTTACAATGGACGTTTTTGGATGTCTTCCAATAAAGCCAATAAATCATTACCGATGGTAGTGTCAGGCGTGTTTCCAGCAATGAACAATGTTGCACATAACCGAACACGTGGACGGTGCTTAATTAATGTCCATGTGTATATACAGCAACTAATATGAAGCTTGGTAGATGGCGTACCTTTAACCTGCATAATATATAATCCTATGTTTGGCCTGATTCAGATAGTTTGCTGTCACCGTCGACATGCTCTCAATTTGGGGAGAAATGCCTCACGCAAGATTTAAACAAAACCAACATTGATTTGGAGGAGCATGGTTTGGAAGTGACACCATGATGACGCCATGCCGCCATGATGACGAGGTGACGCCATGTTGACGAGGTGTCCAAGCATACTAACCTTAGATAATATTGGAAACTAAAATCGTTCAACTGCATTCCATGGACTCGATTAACGACATACCATCCTAAATGCATCAGCTCAGCAAGTCACTGTTATAGTTTCCAAACGTTTGAATCTTCTGACGAAATGCAAATACCATGAAGCCAAACTGCTTTACGGTACCAGGACTCATCAACACACTTGAAATACATGATTCCACAATCCAGTGTTATCACCCTATGCATGCTAAACAGCAGTATGTGACACATAGCCATAGGTTAAACTCATATCGTCAACCCCGCACTAAGGGAATAATCACCGACACTTTCTTTGTGACGCAGCAGTCAGAGGGACCCAAACTTGTCTCTGCGGCGCCGGAAAATGTTTCTGGTATCGGATTCATTGACTTGAAGGAGAAGATACATCGATGACTACTGTCATACACACGCCATGTCCTCCTCACATAACACCCTGCATTACACACACAATAAAGGGATTTATTCGTGTCTTGACCTTCCGTCTCATTGTCAACAAACACAACGGCCACAAGGAGAACGACAACTACCAACTATCTGCTACCATTGCACATTTATTTTGTAATTATTCCACATTACGTAAAAGGTTTACAGCTTATAGTTTAATGGTTTATGGTGTGTTGTGTCAGGTTGTGATATGGAACATTGTCTATCTCCATCACCGGATATATCCTGTGGTCATACCGAACGTTATCCATCTCCAACACCTAAAATATCTTGTAGTCATATAGGACGTTAACTATTAACATCACGCAATATATTATGTGGCAATACAGAAGGTTATCTATCTCCATCACACAATATATCATGTGGTAATACAGAACGTTATCTATCTTCATTACGGGATATATCATGTGGTAATACAGAACCTTATCTATCTCCATCACACAATACATCATATGGTAATACAGAACGTTATCTATCTAAATCACGGGATACATCATGTGGTAATACAGAACGTTATCTATCTCCATCACACAATACATCTTGTGGTAATACAGAACGTTATCTCTCTCCATCACACAATATATCCTGTGGTAATACAGAACGTTATTTATCTAAATCACGGGATACATCATGTGGTAATACAGAACGTTATCTTTCTTCATTACGGGATATATCATGTAGTAATACAGAACCTTATCTATCTCCATCACACAATATATCTTGTGGTAATACAGAACGTTATCTCTCTACATCACACAATATATCATGTGGTAATACAGAACGTTATCTATCTTCATTACGGGATACATCATGTGGTAATACAGAACGTTATCTATCTCCATCACACAATATATCCTGTGGTAATACAGAACGTTATTTATCTAAATCACGGGATACATCATGTGGTAATACAGAACGTTATCTTTCTTCATTACGGGATATATCATGTAGTAATACAGAACGTTATCTATCTCCATCACACAATATATCATGTGGTAATACAGAACGTTATTTATCTTCATTACGGGATATATCATGTGGTAATACTGAACCTTATCTATCTCCATCACACAATATATCTTGTGGTAATACAGAACGTTATTTATCTAAATCACGGGATACATCATGTGGTAATACAGAACGTTATCTATCTCCATCACACAATATATCCTGTGGTAATACAGAACGTTATTTATCTAAACCACGGGATATATCATGTGGTAATACAGAAGGTTATCTATCTCCATTACGGGATATATCATGTGGTAATACAGAACGTTATCTATCTCCATCACACAATATATCATGTGGTAATACAGAAGGTTATCAATCTCCATCACACAATATATCTTGTGGTAATACAGAACGTTATTTATCTAAATCATTGGATATATCATGTGGTAATATAGAACGTTATCTATCTCCATCACGGGATATATCATGTGGTAATACAGATAGTTATCTATCTCCATCACACAATATATCATGTGGTAATACAGAAGGTTATCAATCTCCATCACGGGATATATCTTGTGGTAATACAGAAGGTTATCTATCTCCATCACGGGATATATCTTGTGGTAATACAGAACGTTATCTATCTCCATCACGGGATATATCATGTGGTAATACAGAACGTTATTTATCTAAACCACGGGATATATCATGTGGTAATACAGAAGGTTATCAATCTCCATCATGGGATATATCATGTGGTAATACAGAACGTTATCTATCTTCATCACGGTATATATCATGTGGTAATACAGAACGTTATCTATCTCCATCACGGTATATATCTTGTGGTAATACAGAACGTTATGTATATCCATCATACAATATATCATGTGGTAATTCAGAACGTTATCTCTCTCCACCACACAATTACACATCTGGTAATACAGAACGTTATCCCTCTCCATCATACAATGTATCATATAGCGAGGGAAGTAACCCTATGCCACAGAATGTGTATGTAGAGTTAGTGCCATGTGAAGATCACACTTTATTTCGGAAATTGTTTCAGCAATTTTCCTACTTATCGTAACCGCCGAGTAAAACGTGCGGTGATAAAGTGCGCGTAAGTCTTGCACAACCAGCAGCAGCCGACAGAACGGATGGAGTCTGTAAATCGTCACCGGGAACACAGGAACACGGACTTCAGTATCCTGTGCAACACTCGCAACATGTTTGTCGTTTGAGGTTTAGAAAGCTGATGATTAGTACCTCGCACTTGTATTCAGTGAAACTTTTCAATTCCAGTCAGGAAGAAGTTTTCTGGAGCCACCCCGCAAAACCCATTCACGGCAGCTTTGAGATCCTCGTTGTCGTCATAGTGCTTTCCACAAAAGGTGTTCTTCCAGCTTAAGAAACAGGTGAAAATCTCCTGGTGCCATGTCTGGCGAGTATGGAGGATGAGGAAGCGCAACGAACCCACATTATCACACAGCAGCCGTTGCAAGTCGAGAGGGGTAAGAAGAGGCATTGTCATGAAAAAGTAGAAATCCAGCTGTCAGCATTCCTCCCCACTTTTCTGTGATAGAATCTCCCAGTCGATGAAGCAAATTGGCATAGCAGGCACCGGGAATCGTCTTTTGATTTTCTTCGTAATCAACGAGGATCACACCCTTTGCATCCCAGATTACAGTGGCCATAACTTTCTACACTGATCTTGAAAACTTCTTTGGTGCCGGAATGAAATGGTGCCATACCATGGATTGACAGTTTGACTCGGGATCATAGCGGTAGTGCCATGTTTCAACACCCGTTACTTATCTCTTTTTGGATGTGACGAAATCCTCCTCAATTAGCTCTACATTGTCTCTGGCAATGACTGTTCTTTTTTCCTTAACATCCGAATTTAGAAACTTTGTCACCCAACGAGCAGATATCCTATTCATCTGTAGATGTTTTATGAACAACAGTTTCAGTGGATTCATGTCTTAGACCTGTGTCTTCCTTAAGTTCAGCAATAGCAAAACGTCTATCTGACAGGATAGGTTTTTCGATCTCCTTGACTGAATCCTAATTGATGGAACTTGAGGGAGGTCCAGACCTCGGGTCATCACAAAGGCTTGTTCTCTCAGCCTTAACATTGGAATAGCTAAGACACTTATATACCCATACATTTGTGACATGCGGTCATGAATTTCTTAGGGAGTACTTTTCTCTAAAGTCAATAACTTGATGACTGGTCGTAACTCGTTCTATTTTCATATCTGTGTCCATTTGGACCCTTATCGCGTTCAACTGGCTATCACTCATATACAAACTGCATCAACAGAACAAATGCACTTGCAATGAACTACTCAAACAATGGACCAGATTGACCAGCTCACTTTGTTATGGCCCACAAGTCAGGCTTAGAACTTTTTGACCAGCCCTCGTAGGACAAAGTGTAGGACTGAGGGACGTTTCATTGATGCCTCTATCTAGGTTCTTTGTTCCTCCACGAAATGCTAAATATATTTCAATACTAGCTTCACCAAATATCAATATTTTCCATCAAAAGATGTTCTCTTTTTCATTATAATTTACACATGAATCCAACACTGAGTTGTACTGCATGATACAAATACCACTGTCATGATGAACGATCTCACTACCCAGTGGCGTATGCGAGGCATGTAACAGATCGAAGCTTGGCAGTGGATCGTATTTCACCCTCACAAATCTCATTAGTTCTACTGATCTAACCTAAACATGGTTACAGCTACAATAGAGTTTAGACTGAATCCTGTAGCGATATCACCTGCAATTACGTTAATCGCGTGAGACGGCTGTATAAAACAACATGATAACATTAAACAAGCCAACTTTGTACCCCCGGGAGGTGCTTACTGTCGCCTACTGGAACTTGTTTGCTTTGGCCGTCTATTACTGGCATATATTTGTAATTACCGTTAACCCGGCAACACACTGCATCTAACAAGCAGCAATTTCACCAAAGAACACTAAAAGTCAGGTGTATTTCACGCGATTCTCAGGGGAAAACATTTCAATGTCGGGCCAGGCTGAAGCAAATCAGATGAACTATATTTCTTCATTTCCCGATGTGTGATTACCAACGCTTTCGTTTGTCACGCGCGCTCTGTGATAATCAAACATCCGGACAAAGGCTATGATTATGAGAGACAATTCTGTCATTTTTATAGCATTTAAACACTTACTGGTCTAGACAAAGCTACTGGAAATCAATCATTGCCTGACACATTATCAACAATACACTGCTCAGACTCATACAGAGTTCTACAAATTCATACAGTGCCCTACGTCATTTTTCCAGTTGGAATGTAGAACATTAGAAATAGTTTCTTGAAAGTAATAAAACATGTCTACGTCAACAACACACTTACAAACAAAGTCTAAATGATAAAATAAAACGGAATTAAGAGAGACCGGAGTCGTAAAACCTTTGGTTTAGAGAAAAACATGTACGGTTTTTATAACCTGTTTTATAACAGCATCGAGATAGGCAAGTTTAATACCAGCAATGACCCCTCATCCCAACGTGCGTCAATGAGGAAGAAAGAAGCCTTACCTTTATTACCCCCGCCTCTAAGTAATATCCTTCTCTCCGTTGACTTCTGCACAGCACTGACAGAGATGTTGGTAGTGGTGGTCGTACGGGCAGGGCTTGTCCAATCGAACGCGCCGCGATCTGTGCAGTCCCTGCAAGCCATAGAGCAGCGAGCACAGACCGCTGGTGATTGGCGCGATTGAGAACTATGTAGCAACACCTGTCTCGTGGGCAAACTTGTTTGGTGTGTGTTAGTGTGTGTGATTGGTGATATATGGTGGCAGCATGTGACATTGCGTGAGTTTGTGTGTATTAATTTTGCGTGTAGTAAATGAATGGATCGTTTATGTAGGACGTTTATTCTAAATATTTTGAAGTGACTAAAGACGTTTACTTGTGAATCGACCTGTATTTCTGTATGCCTTGGTGTGTCAGACAACCAATATGTCGGTGTGCCTTGGTGCATTTATTAACCAGTGTGTGTGACAAGATGCGTTTTCTATCTAGTATGTCTATATATGTTTGACGTGTCTATGGGGCCGCAATGTCTGTGTTGGATATCATGTGATTTATGTGATGTGTTTACGTGATTTAGTTTAAGTTTTTGTCAAACAGTATTTCTTTGTTTGAGTGGTGGTTGACATGGTTCAGTATGTGGACTACAATAAACATTAAAGTGTAATCATAATACTTCTATTCACTCAATTGAGCACTTCTATATACACGAAGATCCGGGGTAGAATACGTCTTCAGCAACCCATGGTTGTCGTAAGAGGCGACTAACGGGATCGGGTGGTCAGGCTCGCTGACTTGGTTGATGAAATGCATCGTATCCCAACTGCGTAAGTCGATGCTCATGATGTCAATCACTGGATTGTCCGGTCCATAGACAATTATTAACAGACCGCCGTCAAATTATTGTAACATTGCTGAGTTCGGCGTGAAACAACAAACAGACAAAAAAGAACAGATACACAACAAAACAAGTATATTTGACAGATATTTGTATCATTACATGAAGCAAATCTCTACATGTATGACATCAAATACCGAATGTTTATCATCCGGTAGTGCTGAGACTGTTCAGGGTCATGAAGAGGTCATGATATTGGAAACCAGGCAGCACATCAATACCACGTGGGTGTTATTATGTTCTACTTTTTACATCACTGCTACCTAGACGAAGAAACATATAACTGACTGATGGTAATACCAAGAATACCAACATGCGTACAGGTACAGCACAACGGTATCGGTATCCCAATTTAAAGTCCTCTGTAATGCAGCGCCAAGAAATGGGAAACAAAAACTCTCTGGTACACGTACGGGATGCTCATGTGCAGTAAGACCTGATGATGATGAAGCGCCGTCCCTAGGAAGCCGCTTCAGTACAGGGGGTGTGGAGCAACCGACGGCATGCACAGGGTCGCTGTTATCATAACTTCATGGTGCCTCTGTCTGGTACGTATAAATGATTTGTCCATCAAAACGACCCCGTTTATAAGGAAGTCACAGAACATAAGGGTTGTCTCTGTTACATCTGAGAAGAGACTGCTTGTTAAAACATGACATTGTATGTGTGTCGTGTACACAAAGGGATTGATGTACTATAATGTAACAATGAAAGCCGAAATGAATACTTACGGACTATAATATAGACTTCCGTAGATCTATCACCATGTCAACGAGACACGTTACAGATGTACACGTGATGACAGTGACACGCTGCATGCTGGGAGTCAGGAACGGATCAATGAGGACATTCGCTGCTTCTAAGGTGTAAATGTATTTCTGTCTGTCTGTATAAATATAAGCAATAAAACCCTTTACATATTCATTGGAAATCTCTGCTATAAGCAGACTCGACTGTACTATTCCGACCACATTTCTAACCGAAGCATGTGTTTATGAATCACTATCAAGTCGTGATGATGCCAGGTGTTCGCGAGGTGAGCTCGTGTCCCCCGTCACAAACAGCGTAAACGCAAGTCGATTCTTCACCGGAAAAACACGGGAACATATGGCACAAATCAAACAGGCGAATTGCATCTGACATCATATTAGTCACTGATGCGTCAAATTACCTCCACATGTCTGCTATATTTTTTAGGAAAGCTTTGGTGAGGATTAACACCAACTATGTCCTAGCTTCCATACAGTTTCCGTATACTTTCCGTATAGTTTCTGGAAATAGTTTCATATAGTTTCCATATCGTTTGCTTATAGTTTCCATAGTTTCCATTTAGTTTTCATATAGTTTCCTTACAGTCGCCATAAAGTTTCCAAATAGTTTCCATATAGTTTCCATTTAGTTTTCATATAGTCTTCTTACAGTCGCCATAAAGTTTCCAAATAGTTTCCATATAGTTTCCATTTGGTTTTCATATAGTTTCAATAAATATTCCGTTTAATTTCCATATAGTTTCCATATCGTTTCCATATAGTTTCCGTATAGTTTACATATAGTTGCCATATAGTTTCCTAAAAGTTTCGATATTGTTTCCATTTAGTTTTATATAGTTTCCGTATAGTTTCCATATATTTACCATTAAGTTTCCATATAGTTTTATATAGTTTCCATAGAGTTTCTGTATAGTTTCCATGTAGTTTCCTTATAGATTCCGTATAGTTTCCTTGTAGTTTTCGTATAGTTTCCTTATTGTTTCCATTTAGTTTCCATATCGTTTCCATATAGTTTCCTTATAGTTTCTATATAGTTTTCGTATAGTTTCTTTATAGTTTCCTTATAGTTTACTTATAGTTTCTATATCGTTCCCATATAGTTGCCATATAGTTTCAATATAGTTTCCATATAATTTCCGCGTAGTTTCCATATAGTTTCATTTTAGTTTCCATAGTTTCCGTAGACTTTTCATATAGTTTCCATATCGTTTCCATGTAGTTTCCATATCGATTCTATGTAGTTTCCATATCGTTTCCATGTAGTTTTCGTATAGTTTTCATACAGTTTCCTTATAGTTTCCATTTAGTTTTCATATAGTTTCATTATAGTTTCAATAGTTTCCATATCGTTTTCATATCGTTTCAATGTAGTTTCATTATAGTTTCCATTTAGTTTCTATATAGTTTTCGTATAGTTTCTACATAGTTTCCATGTAGTTTCCATATAATTTTCATATAGTTTCCATACAGTTTCCGTATAGTTTCCGTATAGTTTCCTTATAGTTTCAATAGTTTCCATATCGTTTTCATATCGTTTCCATGTAGTTTCCATATCGTTTCAATGTAGTTTCATTATAGTTTCCATTTAGTTTCTATATAGGTTTCGTATAGTTTCTACATAGTTTCCATGTAGTTTCCATATAATTTCCATATAATTTCCATATAGTTTCCATACAGTTTCTGTATAGTTTCCATATAGTTTCCATTTAGTTGTCACAAAGTTTCCTTTTAGTTTCCATTTAGTTTCCTTATAGTTTTCGTAGACTTTTCATATAGTTTCCATATAGTTTCCATATCGCTTCCATATCGTTTCATGTAGTTTCCATATCGTTTCCATGTAGTATCCTTATAGTTTCCATATCGTTTCTATATAGTTGCCATGTAGTTTCCATATAATGTTCATATAGTTTCCATACAGTTTCAGTATAGTTTCCATATAGTTTCCATTTAGTTTCCATATAGTTTCCTTATAGTTTTCGTATAGTTTTCGTAGACTTTTCATATAGTTTCCATATAGTTTCCGTATAGTTTCCATCGCGTTTCCATGCAATTTTCATTTAGTTTCCTTTCGGTTTTCGCATAGTTTCCATATAGTTTCCATCTAGTTTCCTTAGCGTTTCCATATAGGTTCCATTCAGTTTCCATTTTGTTGAAATGTAGTTTCCTTATAGTTTCCATATAGTTGCCATTTAGTTTTCATATTGATTCCATTCAGTTTGGATATGGTTTCCTTGCAGTTTCCATTTAGTTTCTATTTAGTTTTCATATAGTTTCCATATAGTTACCATTTAGTTTCCATATAGTCTGTCAGCACCGAACCATTGCCCGAGAGTTTGACCAACGTGTAAACCCAGCATTTCTTTGAGATTTCCTCCAACACTGACACGCCGTAATATAAAGCAGATCTCAACCTAACACACTCCGCGTCAGACCAAAATACGTTACAATATGGTACTTGTTGTTACCATGCCTGGCACTCGGCATTAAGAGGCTTAAGCAAGGACTGGTCGGCTCGCAGTCGGTATACTGTGTCTGAGTGTTGAACTGCGGCATGGTATCTTAGTGGACTAGCACCATAAAATCGGCATTAGTTCGCACTAGTACAAGTAGCCACACACGCACACGCACACACACACACACACACACACACACACACACTAAAACACACACACACACACACACACACACACACACACACACACGCTATATGATTGCAATAATCTTGAACGCAACGGTTAACCCCATTTCACCTCACTTAAACGAACTCAATTGATATTCTACATTTTCGTAAAGAGGAGGCGTAAGTACATTCCTAACAGTGGAGTCTGTAACATATTATGTTTCCTTTATCTCATTGCATGATAAATATACATACTTATTCGATAATATATGTGAAATTAAGCAATCATGTTGTTTGACCGAGATGTGAATTTAGAGATTGAAAGAAAATCGTACTGACATAGTCCTGTCCTTAATTTATAATAAAATAGACATATAACAAGAAAGTGATATTCATTTACAATGTCATTCAGGGGGCACAATTGTCAAATGCGTTCTTCTCTTATGATATCTATGTTGTATCCAGTTTCAAATTATAGATCATGCGAACAACACTGAAATCCGACTAAGGAAACCCGTAATTTCTTAAACTTTGTTGTTCCCACCATACGCTGCCATAACCAACGGAATATAGCAAGTCTTTTACATCTGTTGCCCAATTTTGTTTGCAATCTTTATCTTCCATCATACGATAACATTATTTCGGAAACCAATACGATGGCATATTCAACAATCTTTACCAATTTTTAGAAACCTTTATTTATGAGAATATGTGATTTTGAAATCTGCCACAATCACCATATCCCATTACATTAGGTATATTAACCTTCAAAGCAAGACATTTCATGCAGACATATTAATGTACTTTTTCTATTTCATCAAGTTTACCGAGTTCCCAAGTCTCCGCTCCATGTAGCAGTTTCAGACTTATCTTGAACTC